GGCAGACTAGTCATTTAATAAATGATGTGATTCTGTGGAAGGGCCTCCCTGGTTTAGGACTGTGACCATCAGTATATGTGGTGTTGACAGGGCTGCAGACTGATACTCTTAGCTCCTAATAAATCACTGTTTGTACAGTACATACTTACATACACAGAGCTTGTGAATGAAGTATTTAAAGAATGTTGCTGGCATTTTGAGTTCATTACACAATCTACTTTACATTTCCCCATTATTTTTAAATCAGCGTCATGTGCTATTATTTTGTCTCACTTCTCCTGGCTAATGAGACAACACGGGTGAAATAATAATGTAAGAACCAGTCTTTCTTAGAGGAGGCTTTCCCTATGTGTTGAGTAAGTGATACAAATCTAAGCTTAATGGTCCAATATTTCACACATAGCAGTGTTTTAATGAAGGTTGTTGATATATATATGTATGTGTATATGTGGTTTTAAGTGTGAAAAAGCATCTCTAATGGTTCTCTCTGGAGCTCTTAACAGGAACAGAGCTTCGTGTTAGTGAGCCACAGGTAGCAAATTGCAGACTACAACAGCAGCTTGCTAAACCTCACTTGTAAATGCAAATGCTGATGGTCAGTCAAATGTGGTCATTTCAGACTAAATTTCTCCATATGGATGTGTTGTTGTGCTAAATACCAGAGCCACAAGACCCGGGCATCTGGCAGGACACTGTCCGCACTCCGCAACAATGCAGTGTCCAGGTCCAATGCGGAAGTGGGTATTTTTATTCCTTTTGTTTACCTTAGACCATTAAACAAATTGTTGTTCATAGTGAATGGGAATAATCAAATTTTATTTGTATTGCTCATATTCACCAATTACAATGATTGATTGACATTAATGTGATGAAAAGGGAGATGAGGGGAGAGAAGCTCCATGTTTCTTGTGTCCCCCAACTACTGTATCTTTGCTTATGTCAGGATAACTAAGAGCTGGTCGAAGGCAACCTAAACCAGCTGTAACTATAAGCTTTATCTGTCTTCTATGTGTATAGAGTGGGTGTCTGCCTCCCAATAAGCAACAGCAAATGGTTTGTTGAAAAAATTGTCTATTTCAGGGTTCGGGGTGATGTACCATCGAAACATTTCCACCTTTAGATTCCACACAAGACTCTTCTTCATGGGGGAATAACAGATTGTCGCTCCTCTTTCTGTAGGTGATCAGTGATTCTTTACAATAAAATCTCGTGTCTTTTCACTGCACATGTTGGCGATCAGATATGAAGGTCACAGCTTTGACCTCTATGGCCGCCACCTGGGCTCTTATCAATGAGCGAGAAATTAAAAGCCTTTACAGATAACGAAAAAGGTGGCTGAAAAATAGGGCTTGTCTTTGGGGTGTAGTAGATCTGGGTTTCTCAGTGGTGGACTGTCTGTGCTACGTCCGCCCTGCTGTCCTGTCTTCAAAGAGCAATTTTTGTGCAGGACTTATTTAGCATGCAGAGGGAGTGAGCTGGAAATCAGGATGTGGAGAAGCATGTGCCTGTTGGAATCACATAGAGTAGCATCTTTGCATTTTTAATGTCTATCATAAATAACCTTGCACACATGCGTGTGTATGAATGTGAATAAATGGGGAACAGTGTGTGCACCTGCATGATAGTATACTGGTAATGCAGGTGCGTTAGGTGTCTGGCTGGTTATGTGGCATGATTCAGCTGTTGCAAGATGGTGTGCACTGGGGAGATGGTGTATCCTCACTCGCCACAAAACTACAACCCAGCACGAGACGGCAGTATTCATTAGTCGGCACAGCATCCGAGCAGCCAAAGGAAACAGCTCAGGTAGTCCTGCTGTTGGTTTCAGCAAATGGGAATAAAGACACAGAAAGGGGTGAGATGGAGAGAAAGAATTGAGCAGTAGGAGCAGAGTTCTTGCATTTTGAGTTTGCAGTTTCTTAAGGAATTATCCACAATATAACATGTTATATAACGTGTATCATTTTTACATTATATTGGATTGGTACTAGACATGGAAATTGTTTATATGAACACAAAAAGTTTTTGTTCCAACTTGAGTTGAATTTTCCCAGTCTTAAAGAAAAAATGATTTAAGTAAGTGCTTCTAGTTTTTTCCTGTGGTTACATCAGTGTTTAACTATTGAACAGGGATTACTATGATTGGATGGCTAATCTTTTTTTATGATTTCATTGATTATAATGTAGGTTTCACTTTTTTTGTTGCAGCTGTTGTAGGGGATGCCAATGTGTCTTAGAATAAGGAGAATGAACTCCAGAAGCTTCAGAGGCTAGTGGACATGACATGTTGACTTTGGTTCATATTCTTTTTCTTCTCTTTTCTTTACATGGTGTTTTCATCAGTTACTAAATAGTTTCTGGTGTGTAACCACCATTGTTGAAAGATTTCTGTGCAGCAGGAATCATTTCAAACATAAACATAATGGGGAGGTCACAGATATAATAACAGATGAGACCGCCAGTACAAACACTTGGTCCAGAAACTGAGAAATCCAGAGAATCTTACATTCATATGAAATTTTAATTTTTGTTAATTTTCTAAGCTTTTTTGAAGTACACAATGTGCAGGAATAAGCAACAGTTTTCAAAATATATTCAGTGATGTGTGTCTTTACTCAAAGCTGTAGAGCTAACAGTATAGAAGAAATGTAACCCGGAGCCTAAATCAGCCGCAGCTTTGCATATAAACAAATGATTTCTAAATAAGTGATTTTAGAGACATGAGAATTCTCAGACACTTCAGTGATCAAGTGTGACTTCAGAATAGAAATAGTGTTTTTACAAAACAACTTCAATGCCAAATGCTGAAGTGTTTACCATTTTGTGAATAAGACGGCTTACACTGATGCAAAAAGACTGAAAACATATTCAGGAGTATCATGTATCGTACATGTAACAAATTAAAAAGATCAATATGTGGTTCTTGAATGTAGAAAATTGATGGTGCTAAGTAACTGCTGAGTGATGGCGGGTAACATCATTAAACTAAAGGTGTCATTTAATAACACGCTTTAATAAATGTCACTGAATGAGCAGGATAAGCACTTGATTATGAAGACAGGTGCACCATTAAGAGTGTGCATGCTAACAGCAGTAGAGTGAAAGCACGCACACGGTTCAGAAGCAGGGTGACCCAAATAGTGGCAATATTTTGAGTGTGTGAGTCATGCAATCTAAAACCGAGGCAGGGTGTAAAACGACTTGTTTAGAGCTCAGTAGGCAGAGCACACCAGTGGATGGATTGTGGGAGGAAGGTAGAGAAACAGCATAGTAGGTTGCATGTGTGGAAATCTGCTCCATCTACCTTTCAAATGAAAAAAAAGCCACGGATGTTTGCATATTCTGCCTCAGCTTCCTCCAGAGAAGAGGAATATCTGCATGTCAGCTCTAGTTTTGTAAAGGCACAAGAGGTAGTTGTAGACTAAAACAGACAAACAGTTCCTCCGCTGTATTTATAGGTTTATAGAGGCTATCCACGATCAGCGTCACCAGCTCGTCCCACCCTTATTGTTGTTGCCTAGAAACAAATCTGAAGTTAGACATGACAAGGACATTTTGTGCACTGTTACCTATTTGGTTGAGTTGAAGCGTTATACTCAAGCATTGGACGTCTCATCACTTGCCAGCAACTTTACGTCTTTAAAAAACGATTTGTCACCGAAGTGCAATGCATCCTGGGATAGGTTTGGTCTGCAAGGATTTACCCGTTGAAATCTTTGTTTCTTGAAGATGAAAGGATGTATTTGCTGCCCGCATTTGAAGAAGCCTTCGAAATGGGACAATCTAGCAGCGGCGCTGTGAAGCAATGGGTCTTCAAATGCAGCCTCCGAAGGATGCAGCCCCTTAATTGAGACACAGCTTGTATAATATGTAATCACTGTGGCTGAATATAATAAACCAAGAAGTCCTTTGTGTGTAGGTGTACCTTGCCTGAAGTTGGTGAATATAAAGCAGCCCAATAAAAAGTCTGTATTTCATTGTATTTTTTCATGTTGGCAGTAGATATGAATGAAGGAGACACAAAATGGCTCTCAAGAGGACTATTTAGGTGTCACTATCTCTGCCTGACTTTGCCTGCGGTCACTGCTGCCCAGACATGAGGGGAGCAACTAAGAAAAGATGGCTTTCATTTTTAGCCAATTGAACTTTCCAATACCAGTGTTTTGTTCTAAACTGAGACACAAATAAATGATTGCAGAAAGCGCTGAAGGTGATGGAAATGTTAAATGTTATGGCAAAAACCACCTCCACCTCACAGAGGCGCATTAACACGTTCACCAGGAAGATGTATTAAGATTCACTGCCTCAAATTCCTAACCAAAACATGTTGAGCATGAAAGTTAATTCTCGACCTTAGGAAACATTTTTGCTTGATAAAATTGCCTTCAGTTCAATTTACTAGCTTTTTTCTGGGCTTTCAATAGCATCACATGGTCTGAAGATGATTATCTCAAGTGCCTTGCACCAACTAAAATCAGCATTTATTACTGCATAATTTATTACTGTGTTTTACTTCTTTATTGTCAAGTCACTTTGTACCTGCAGTATTTGGATCTGAAAGGTTTGACTATACATGGGTGTCAGTCTTAAAATAAATCCCCATCATTGCCTGTTTTTGATTAATTGTTTTTACATCTTTTGTTAATTAAATTATACTTCTTAAAGAGGAAACATCCATTTTATTTTACACAAATGCACAAAACATACTTTTTCATTACTCAAAACTGATTCTGATTAAATCTGACTTCAGCTGCATTCCCATGCCACATTTTCACCAGGATTACATGGAAGTGTGTGTTTATTTGTTGCTCTTGCTCAGGAGTCCATTTAATTGATGCAAGTTAATTAAACTTGTCTCAATTTACCCTCTCTCTCTCAAGAGTAAATTAACCAACAGGGCTGTATGTACGAATGCCATTGTAAAATAACAATCGTGGAAGAACCTGAAATGTGAGCAGTGTTATCTATATTCCAATTTTTTCTCTTTTCTTCTCTTGCAGTTTATCGCCTTTGCATCTTTGTTCTTCATCCTGGTCTCCATCACCACCTTCTGCCTGGAGACTCATGAAGCTTTCAACACCATAATCAACAAGACGGAGCTGATGCGGAACAGCAGTGTGTCGGACTCTGGCCCTCAGTACGAGATTGAAACAGATCCTGCGCTCACCTATGTTGAGGGTGTTTGCGTCTTTTGGTTCACCATTGAGTTCCTGGTGCGTGTGACATTCTGCCCGGTCAAGTTGGAGTTTGTAAAAAGCGTCCTCAACATCATTGACTTTGTGGCTATCCTGCCTTTCTACTTAGAGGTAGGACTGAGTGGCCTCTCTTCAAAGGCCGCCAAGGATGTGTTGGGTTTCCTCAGGGTGGTGCGCTTTGTTCGTATCCTGCGTATCTTCAAGCTAACACGTCATTTTGTGGGGCTAAGAGTGTTGGGCCACACTTTACGTGCCAGCACCAATGAATTCTTGCTGCTCATCATCTTCCTGGCATTGGGAGTGTTAATTTTTGCCACCATGATTTACTATGCTGAACGAATCGGCGCAAAGCCCAACGACCCCACTGCTAGCCTCCACACCAAGTTCAAGAACATCCCCATTGGCTTCTGGTGGGCTGTGGTGACCATGACTACACTGGGATATGGTGACATGTATCCAGAGACCTGGTCAGGCATGGTTGTGGGTGCATTATGTGCTTTGGCTGGCGTGCTGACGATAGCCATGCCTGTGCCGGTTATCGTGAATAACTTTGGGATGTACTACTCTCTGGCCATGGCCAAACAGAAGCTCCCCAAAAAGAGGAAGAAACACATCCCTCAGACAGTGCAGGGGGGGTCCCCCAGCTACTGCAAAGCTGATCTCAACACCACCTGCAACAGTACTCAAGGTGACCTGTGCCACGTCAAAGGGAGCAGGGTGCTAGAACGCAACCGCTCAGGTAAGACCAAATGGCCAGACCAAGAACATACAAGGCAGAAAACTATGATCAACCACAATTTGTTAAAGTTCACGTGACACAGAAGGGCATTATTTATGAAGTCCATAAGGGAACTCATCTCAGGTAGAGAGCAGTGGCCATTTGACAGAGTCACAGAGACCAAAAATGGTGTTCCCTTAGATACTCACAAGTACAACTGCAGCTTCCTCACAGAAGTCCTGTTTCCCAACAGCCTTCATCCCTGGATGCCACACTGATAAGGAATGTAGCACAAAAGGCAATGAGGAGATGGTCGTGTCAAACAGCTCATGCTGATAAGAATTCACTGTTGTTGTGTCCAAGCTTATCTTCCAGTCGTTGAGCGTTTGCTGTAAAGACCGTAGGCGGGTGTTTTTCCCTCTGGGCCGATGTCAGTAATTTACTCTGACACATCTGATATTGATGGAAATTAGTGTCGACCTCTGTATATACTGACTTTCTTTGAATTCTAGTGCAGACATTCCGAGGGTAGACGCACGCTCTGGGCTCCTCGCTGTCTACTTGTTTATTAGGTCTCAGAACCTTACATTTAATAAGCATAGAATAATTCATGCCTCAGCTGAATACACAAACAGAGTCAATCTGCCTTTAGTCGCCTATTTGATTTCCTTTGAGGTCATTTGAAAAAGCCTACACAGTGTGCAAGGTGACTGTCCTCTTCAGTGTCTGTTAGATTTCCTCATGCTTTATGTTGCATTGTGAAAGGTTCCATGTTACATATACTGTGTTCGTTTTAGTCATACGTGACAGGACATAATAATGAATCATTTAAGACTAATATTAAACCTATGATTTAAAGACCTTCTATAGTATCTTAAAGGAATTAGCTTTTACTAACCACTGAATCTTATTCATTTTAGCATTAATAATTAATTTTATTATTTTTATACCCAGTATTATCCATTATGTCATTGTCTCCTGAAAATAATTGACCATTTGCTAAAATTAAATTAAAACTACATTTCAGTTACTTTATCATACTTAAAGTAACTTAATGCAACATTTCAAAAATGCTTTTCTACATGGATCATAAACAGGATGTTGAGTTTTACCCAGAACTGACAGCTTCATCTTTAGTCTTTAGCACGATATAATGTCTGTGGCCATCAAGGGCATCTTTAAAATCCCATATAAATACATATCAAAATCCATACTTATAAAATCAGCTTGTTAAAGCTGTCATTTGCACAAAATCATTGGACATTAGATAGCTGTCTATCTGCGGTTTTAAAATCCATCATATTTTCCTTATGAGAGAGGAAAGTTTGACAGACAAACAACAGTAATGAAGGAGAACCTGAGGAAAGGGTCATTTAGACTCCTTGAAAGATCAAGATAATCACATGTTTTTAAAAAGCATTATATTTACCACATTTACTAGTGTTGCCTAAGCTTGCGACTGATATAACTCATTCTCTGTGCCAATGTCATCCAAAAACACAGAAAAGAGCCACAGTGATGTAATTATGTTCCATAACACTATCATAAAAAGGGACACTGCTGATTGTGAAACTGTATTTTTAAATCAAAGGCCAGTAATTCTTTATCTTTCAACCATTATTCAGAATGCATGGGCATGCAGTTTACTTGCTGGGAATAGCCTTTTAAAATGACTCACAAACTGAAGCCAGACTCAACAAAAACAACACAATATGCCAATCCTGTAGCCTTCCTCGAGCTGCTGAGCAATGCTAAGCCTGCCGCCAAAATGTAGCCTCATTGTGTCTAAGTGACTGTGGCAACTTTAATGCTGTTGGCATTTTTATCAGAGATATGTTTTAGGTCTCACACAAAAAAGGGTAAAAATATGTGAATGGTAACTGCACTGGTTGGAGGCATTCAACCACAGTGCTGCAATTCTAGTTTGTTGTTTTCAAACTTAGTTGTTTTATGCAATCTGTGCAAGGACCACTGAGAAGACCCCTTTCCCCTTATTGTTCCCCAGGTTGTGTTGGTAGATTCAATGTGATCTGTTAGTATGGGGGAAAAAATGTTATCTGGAAATAATTAAATATCAAATTTAAGATATTTCTTTTTATGGAGGCAATTATTACAAAAACTAACGATTTGTTACTCTAAATGTTTTGCATGTGCAAATAAGCAAGGGTTTTGCACAATGTGGTGTTAAAATCACACATTAATTTGTAGTATTTGTTTGTCTATACAATAGAATTTAATTATTTAGTAACTCAGCTCAAAAGTAATTTAAAGCTTTATTGCATGATAGGTGTATCCCCTAAGGTTTCTTGCTGTTGTGAAACAGTCTCTTCGTCTTATGAAATGCCTTTAATTCAAAGGTTAAAACCAACATGTCAGATATTACTGTGTAACCCACCGTGTTTCCTTCCTCACAGTTCTGTCAGCAGACTGCAGCAGTGACCTGACCATGTCTCCAGAGGAGAGGGTCCCCATGCGAAGGTCGAGCACCAGGGAACAGGACCGTCGGAGCGGGGGAACGTGCTTCCTGCTCTCTGCTAGTGACTACACCTGCCCTGCAGATGGAGGGATGCGAAAAACAGGTAACTGGATGGGGAAATTCAATATTGTTTTAATAATAAAAAGTAATAGATTTTAATAAACTGAATAAGCATTCAGAGCAGTTGATAGTAAATATGTCTTACCTTTAAAAATCAGTTGTTATATCACGGTTCAATAAAATCCTTAAACACAAAGCCATTAGTGAAAATCCTCATCAGCTGATCCGTATCCTTAGTGACTGGGACACCAACATCCCTGGAAGGGGGGAGGCTGTTTGTTCAGGCCTAGTCAGAGAAGGTAATGTACCCTTTGGACATGCTGTTGGAGCACACAGCACAACTTCTGTGGCAGTTCTGAGGGACAACAGTGTCCATGCAGCCGACTCAGAACTGTTGCTTCCTTCACAATTTATTCATGTTTTCTTGTCGCCTGGAAACACTTGAATAAATTTCTGATGTCGTGCTTCACTTTTCCGGCTTTTGCCAGATTCATTTCCCATCTACAGCTCCTAGATAAATTGGGTATCATCACCATCTGCCTCTAAGGTGATGATCCACCAGCAGATATTTCAGCTCTTTCACAACCAGATGAATTAAAATAGTTTCAGTTACAGATTTGAATCGACCATCAACCCATTAACATTGTTACAGGCTTACATTTGTTGCTTATAGATAACACAGTGAAATGATTTACACTCCGATCAAATACATATCAGCTCCAGACCTTGGACGTTTTTATTGGACTCATCAAACCTCTTGGATACAGTATATATACTTTTTTAGGTTTTAGCTGTAAGAGTTTAAGAATAAACAAAGAAAACTGTGTCACACACAAATGTAGGAAGCTTTCACAAAGAGCTGAACATCAATCTATCTTCATTGTTTATACAGTGTATTTTTAGCAGCCTAAAGCAAACACCATTTCTAGTTTCCCACTTGTAACTACCGTTTCCATCAACATCCAAGTCTTAATTATGACTGGGAAGCAGCAGAGACCTTTTTTTTTTTTTTTTTTTTTTGCAGCGCTGCCGTCACAGTAATTAAAATAATCAACATTTCCAGCTTGGCACTTAATTACACAGAAGTGCCTGAGAACAAACTAAATGTGGATGCTATACATCAGGCTTCGTTCGATATAATTAGACTCACATTTTATGGAGGTTGTTAGGTTCAAAAGATCACCTAGAGCTGATGTTATACCAGCTTCCAAACAGAAAGAATTTCAGTTCTGAAAGAGAATAGTAAGAATTTTAACTCTTGGCCTTCGAAGTAATGCTGGGTTAGGTTTCTCTTTCAGTTAACCTGTCAAGGAATGGCATGCTGATGTTAGTTCACCAAATTAAACAAACAAATAGGTTAATCCAGTCCTTTAACTTCTTGTATTTGTATTTTTAGAAAGTTGGTTAAAGCAGCACAATGCTCTAAACTCTGACACTTAGTATCACACTCAATAGGGCCTGAGGCTACATCCGCATTACAACGTTATCAAAAATGCATTTTGAAACTAAAACAATCTCCATCAACACAAGCCTTTTAGCTCCTCATCAGTTTTTATCCCCATTCATACTAATAACACGTGACCACTCACATACACTGGGCATGCACGTGCCAGGGTATACAGGGATTGCCCAAATAATACCTTGTCTCCTACACATGTAAGCAGTTTTGTCATTGTAAAGTGCAGAATTTAACTGCACAGCAGCTGTTGGCAAAGCCAACAGGAACAGCAACACTAACAGATGATCGATCTTCACTGGTAGTCGAGGCTAAAGCCTGTTGTTTTCTTCCAGAGTGGGGTCATGTTACAGGAGCCTGATGAATCAGCGAAGGCTATGCCAGTATGGAATCTCTCATTCTTTCCAAACATCTCTGTAACTGCTTGTCCAGACTAAATGAGTTGTCAAGCTAAAACAGCATAGTATGGACGCCAGGCGTACCAGTAGTACAGTTGATGCATTTCAAACAAAAACATGAGTTTCATGAGCGGACATCAGATGCTTACCAGACCTGCTGTACCCTCTCATATCGCTGCGTTATGACTGAACGATTGCTGCTTGGAGGAAGGTTCAGCAATCAATTCCAAGACAATGTTGTTAGTGTGAACTTTCATACAATGAAGAAGTCAATTTGCCCAGATTAGGAGTAAGCCATGGCTCTGGTCGTACCACCAGGATGACCTGATTCTTGTCTCTGATTGGACAAGATTGAAGCTTACTACCCATAAATCCTGACTACAACAGTTTACATTGTTTCCAATTAGAAATATCCCTGACACAATATGTCTTCAAAATCTGCCTTTAGATTTTCTGTTATCACCTTCAGTCGTGTAGCGATCCATCAGTGGAAAGGTCTCACACAGACAGGGCTTAACCTTCCAAACACTTTGACCCAAGCTAAAGGTCATCATGAAGTTCATATCTGCTGAATATCCAGGAAGCCTTGTTGCTGTCCCATGGGATTTCAAAGGCAGAAAAGGTCATAAATTAAAATATATAAATGGAACTCTTCACTTAGTAGAAACTGGGTCATGCTGCAGCTGATTTAACAGGTTTTCCCACATGTGAAGCCAGAGCATGTTTGCTGGATTCAATCCCCCATTTTATCTGCAGCATTTTAAGGCATTAATGTTGTGTTAATCTGCACTGTAATGTGTAAGTGTTAAGCCTCAGCTAATTGCCTCCTATCAGAAGTTAACTGCCTCTCCAGGAGGCTAACTAAATGTCTTGCTCTTAATGTTACTCCTCTGTAGCCTCAGAGTGATGCTGTACTCACGCTACAGTGGGCAAATCAATACTATTACACCATTAGAGTACCACTTGTAAATTGGAGATTTTGTTCATTTGAATTCCAGCTCCCATTTCAGAAAACTCCTGATAACTCATTGAGGCGTACTCTAAAGTGGAGTGCAGAATAAATTAAGATAACTTGTTGATGGGTATTGATTTGATCTAGCAGGTTAAACTGCTGCACATCTGGTCCAGATTCTCTAGGGAGCACATCACGGTGATCTCTCACAGCAAGGCCCCTCATTGGACTTGTTTTTATCAGTTGCCGCCACACTGACGATAATGCATTAAACATCAGGTCTCTCTCGTTGCTGCTACCTGTTGGCAAAGACCAGGGCTGTCCTTTGTCCTGCCTGCTCGGCTGGTTCTGAAACAGACCTGGTTTAATTTATACACTCCCTCCTGGTGAAACAAATGAGTGCCGTGTGCAATATGGTAATGAGGCCACATTTCCATTAGCTGCTCCTCATCAGTGTTTATGCCAGTTGATTGGCATGCTCCATTAATGATCTGGCTGCTTTGGCTTGCTTGTTTATTTTGCAGCAGATTCGCCAGCATGTATTACATGCTGCATTTTTAGGGCTTGGGTTGAGCTGTTGTAAGACGTGAATCTGTACAGACTATTCAATTTTTAATAATTGTCAATCATCATCATCAGTATGTGGAGGCTACACATTTATGGAGTTTTAAAAAAAAAACTTTATTCAAGAGTGTGGTCTTTCATTTTGAGAGCAGGACTTTCTGATTTCATGTTCAGAATTTTTATGCACTCCAGCTTCAGCTCTTCTGTGTGTACATGATCCCTTGGATTTCTCCTCTGATCTCGGATTATTCTTCTGCACTTCAAAATTCCCCAACCAATGCATGAGGAGAAGAGCTGAAGCTGGACCTGAAGCAGGGTATATCTGAGTGTAAGCCATAGACATAGTAAGCGCAGAGTTTTGATCGAAAGCATTCCAACATCTGACCGTGAAATCAGTAAGTCCTGGTCTCAGACTGAAAAAACAAACCCTTGAATAAAGAGAGGAAAAAACATACAACCTGGATCTTTCCACTTACAAACACAACACATATTTGATCCATAATGTGCATGTTGATAGTCTTAAAGTGTACGCGTCATATGATTGTATGTAAATGTAATGTACAATTAGTACAATCACCTTTTACGATTTAGGATTTGTGGATTCTAAACAAATTCAAAATAAGAAAATACTAATGATGATGCATGAGATGAATGACTGCTAATGTATTAGCGAGTTTGATAACACTGGTTAGTTGACTAATATGTTTGCAGCTTGGAATTTAAATGACATAGTATCTCTGAGAGGCGGAGCTGCAGTGTGGGTTAAAGCTGATTGGTTGAGTGAAGGGGTGGAGCCAAAAAAATAAAATAATTGTTCGCTAAGTGGCAACTTCAATGTCAACAAAGAAATTGGTGAAACCAGACAAGAACAGATGTAATTTAATCGTTTCATGTCGGAGCAGTATTACATTCATTATTTTGGAACATCAGCACATTAGCTTTCTGAATTACCCAGCGAGCTAAAGGATAGCATGGCTATCTTGTACCTCTTTTACACCAACACTAGCAGGGGTACATGGGTTTTTTAGACAAAAAGTCCCAAGTCTTTAACTTACACTAAGATGGATATCGGTACAAGTGCTTACACCTTAGTCATAAATATTTAAGAAGGCTTGATGTATCTTTTCTGATCACAGATGGTTTCAAGTTCTAGTTTCCTGTGCTGTGCGTCATAAACCAGACAAAGTGTCGTTCTTTGGCTCCACGCACTCAGCCAATGGTTTTTTCTTCGTCCTCAGCAGCTCTGGCCAGGATTTTAGTTCAACTGTCACTGTGAGGAAATGTGCTGTGCATGCACTCACCATACAGTTTGTTACTGTTGCTCTGTCTCACTCCTGTCTCCTGTCTCGGTTCACTCGGTTGGCTCGGACTCGGATCGTTGCCTGCCTGCCTGTGTGTGTTCATGTCCTGTTCCTGCACAACCACAACCACCTCCACCACTACCACCACCACCACCTCTCTATCGCCCCCTCATCTGAAGGCTATGAGAAATCCCGGAGTTTAAACAACATAGCGGGCATGACTGGCATGGCTGGTAACACCCTGAGGTTATCTCCTGTGACCTCGCCCTACGGATCGCCCTGCCCACTGCGCCGCTCTCGCTCCCCTATCCCCTCCATCCTGTGAGACCTCCAGCCCCGGGGCCTCTTCAGCCTAAACCACCCCACGTCCTAACCCCTAACAAACCACCTCCCTTTTGTATTATATCGGAACTCTTCTAGATATTGTGGCTAGTGGATAAGTACCTAACCTTGTAGCTAAGACTAATGTTAGTGGCTTGGGCAACCTGAGCAGCTCCTCACTTTCCCCTTGTCCTTGAAGGTACATGTGCTTAGCTAACATCCTTAAGTAACTTCTCAGTTCTCCTGTGTCACTTGGAGTTCCCTTTAGATATCGTCGTACTTTGAGACTTCAGACTTGCAATAAAAGAACTTGACTGGTGGCTCCAGAAGTAGCAGCCATAACATTTAATAAAGGACATATTAATAATCAGGGATATTAGATGTTGCTATATTTAGATACCATGAAAAAGACGTGCTTCCAAAAAGAAAAGAAAGAGAGATGTCATTTCATTTGAACCTCATCCAACTGTGACTTTGTTTTTATTTTGCTACTTTGTTTTTTGGGGGGATGGAGACCAGAGGGACGGCTGTCGGGACGGACGATTTGTCTTTCAGGACTGTTTTGACTCACACAAGCACACGTACAGTCTGTCACTCTTCACCTGCTGCTGGGCCTGCTCATGTTTTTTGCATGGATCATCCTGTAACCATCGTCTGCAAACCGCATAGCGAGGGCAAGAGGGACCAGAGGAGAAACTAAGGCTATAGAAGAAGTACTCCTTCATATATGTTTATGTATGAAGGAGTATTTTTTTATGGAATATTATTATTGTGCTGGGGTTTGGGGCACTCTCAACTTGTATTGTGTCTCATTTTGCCATTGGCTTCTCCAACAATCCTCCAGGGAGTAAAACCACAAAAAACGCCAGCCGGGTGTTCGTTTCTCTCTGCATGTGGGATCTTGCTTGTTTGCTGTTATTTCCGATTAACTCTCTCCCTCCTCTCATTTATGTTCTCGTTTTTTCTTTGAGTGCCACCAAAGTTTTTTGTGTTTCTGGTTGTTTACTCACAGATAACTGCAAAGAGGTTGTCTTTACTGGTTTCACACAAGCAGAGAGCAGCGTTCTATCTTAATGGCTTTGGGGGAAGGCGCCACCATGGCGGAAAGGTAACCTTCTGAACGGGTGCGGGGGTCAGAATTCAGTGCAGAACCCTCTCACCCTCTTGGTCATGAATTATGATGTATGTTTTTGTGTGCGAGATAAAACCTGGGGTTATTCAATAATCCTAAGAAATACCTGTATATGGTTGACATCTACAACAACCACACAGTCTTGATGGTACCATCAGTGATTGTAGCATCAGTGGGTCATTACCACATAAATATGAAGACATATACAGTCTCCTATACTGTAAACAAATGAACCCTGTTATTGAGGAGCAAAACTACATCTTGAATAATGTGCCACCAGATTAATTTGGAAATTATTTACAGCCCTAAAATAGATCTGCTATCTGTTATGCAAGTGATCCATAACTTTTTTCTGCAGTTCCACTTCCTGTGAGCCATCTCCAAGGGCTATCAGCTGCTCTCAAATCCCCAAACTAACCTGAAGTCCCTAGGGGCAGAGTCAGTAAACCTCACATTTAACTGAAGCAGCCTTTTTTTGTTTTGCTGAAAGGCTTTCTCATTTATTATTGATGAGACTTTTTTCATGGCGGGCATAAATTGCCTCTGCGCACCAACAGGTGTGGGAAAGCAGACATAACCATGCGGCGATGTGCCTCACCCATCCCTACAGTATGTCTATACCAGTAGAAGAGGGTTGCTTAGCAACTGGCTCACAGCTAGATGCATCTTACACGTAGCTCAACAAAAAGTCTAACAATTAAAAATAACAGCTCTCGCAAACATTTCTTTTTGTCTGTCGACCAAATTATTGAATCACCCCATTTTAAACCATGGCAATACACAATAGAGCTTTTATAATTCTGCATATACACTAACAGAGCACTTTGTACTATGTTCTCATTTCTGTGCAGATATTTCAAATAGCCAGTGTGTGCATGACAAGCTCTTCTGAAATGATGCTCAACAGAGAGAGATGATGCATTTCTGATATTTAGAGATGTGTTTATATTTTATTTAGACAATTCATTTCCTATTTGAATGACGGTGGGATAAGACTGTCGTCAGTATGAGGACCTATTGCAGTGGGAGGACCTCATTTGGAGCCATCGGGCCACTGCTACAGGACAATACGGACGAGGACACACGTAAAAACCATAGACTGACGGCCGCCTGGTTCACGGCTCAGCGAGCAGGGCCGCAGATGAAGACTTTGATAAAGCATTTACCTTTTCCTGCTTTCTCCTTTTGTTTTCCTGTTTTAAGACTCTGGGGAAAAAGGAAAGCAAAGCAAACTGGACACGTCCTTGAAAGAGACAACATAGATGTAAATAAAACAACAGAACAGCACATCTGGGCCACGCGGCTCCGTCCACACATCTGTCTATTGATGGTGAGTCAGGTAACAAGGTGGTTGGTTGCTAAGTTGCACCTTGAACACTCAATGTCAGTCACTTTTCTTGCTGTGGTATCCCTCCTCGCAATAAGTGTATTAAGATGTATCAGTTGAGGCACTTTGTGTTCTGAAAATGGAGTGTATTCATATATGAAATCCTACATACAGTATATACAGTATAGAGAGACAAACGTGCTAAGTTGAATCAATGTGACATTATGGTCATCTTTGCTTTTGTTTCCCTCGGTAATTTTCAGTAGGTTAATTACTCTGCTGTGTGTTAATGTGCGCACTTGGGTGTGTGCGTCCCCCTGTGATGCAGTCACCATTGTAGAAGTCCCCCCCCCCCTGTCCTGCATTCAACATGCAACTATACCCTGCTGCAGATGTCGTTTAACAAACCAAATTATTCTTACCAGACTTTTCCTCAGAACCCCTGGTGGCTAAAAAAAAAAAACTGCGTAACTTGATTCTTCCAAACTTTTCCCCCCTGATGGGGGGTGGAGCAAAAGTGTAGCAGAAGACGCCCAAGTTAAAAGTGGGACTTCTAGAATGGCTACATCTGCACAGTAGCAATCCCCTGAACCCAACCAATCAGATCGGATTTGCAATAAGCACCCAAATAAAAAAAACAAAAAGGGCCGATCCACACTGTGATTTCAGCAGCCTGTTACACCCAGAGAGAGAAAAGAGTGTGAATGCTGCTCTGAAAGCTGAGAGAAGCGACTGGCAGGTGGCACAACTTGTGTGTCATGTTGGTTGCGACCTGCACAGCCGTCGACTCGCTTTGTCACCCTGTACCCACAATCCTCCTTGTGTAGTACACACGCTGCTTAACTCTTTGAATTGACAAAGGGGTACCTACCGTTCTCTGTGTATCTTTAGGAAAACGTAACTTGAAAAAAAAAAAAGGTGTTTATTTTTTTTAAATCCAGAACATGTATTTTTGTGTCTTACTGTTGCTCTTACTTGTAAAAGTCATGGTAGTCGGATGCTGTGCTTCTCCATCGTGTCCTCAAACTGTCAGGCTTTTGATCCCAGTTCATGTTTCGTATGTTTTATTGTGAGGAAAATTCTAGTTTGAAGTCTGTATTTGTGGAGCCTTTTGTTGGCATTCTAAAGTGCATGCTGAAAAAATAAAAACATTATGTCAACATGTAAAAGAAAAAAGAAAAGAAAAGACATACTGTATATCACAGTCAAGACGATGTGTTTAAAGGTAAATGCTATGTGAGAGATTCACATAAACTATTTATCTTTTAACTGACTGTTCTTCTCTTTGCTTCATTCCACTGGTTTTCTTCCTCACTGTGATTTTAGATTTAACTTAAAATATGGTTTCACCTTCAAAGTCCTGATGATTTCAAACATTGTGCCTTCCTTCAGAGGACGCAGTTTACCTGGTCCATGAAGGAGGCGGTCTTCATGGCCCGCGTAGATCTCAAAAGCTGAACTACAGATGACGTCTGGGACAGGTTTGGCCAAGAAGCATCTACCTGTTGGAGCCTTGCTTTCTCAGGAATATAAGGACTCATTTGTAGGTGCCTTCCAAATGACAGTCTAGTCGCGCTGCTGTGACACAAGCCTCTGAAGGACAACTACAGTTCATGGTTAAAGTTTACTCTCCTATATATTCCTAAAAAGTTTCCTGAATTGGTTCTATTTATAGGGTAGTTTCATTAGTTAGTTCCTAAAGAAATCACTCCATTAATAAATAAAATAATTAAATATGAGAAGCAAACATGGAAATCAACACGTCATTGCACGTCATTTATCAGTGAGGCAGTTGTTGTAACTTGACTTTATTATTTATTCCAGTAACATCAGGTACAGCTTGAAAATGCCACATACCATTGAGAGAAGGTAAACAAAGCAGTGGCTGCGTTTGTCCGGCATCCAGTGTTGATTTCTCCCTCAGGTTCCTGGAAGCCCTGCTTCTCCCACTTCCTGTGTGCCTCTGCTCATCCTTCAACTCACGTCCAGCAATCAGCACCTCTCGGCACGCACCGCATCTCCGAGACATCCCAGCTATCTTTACTCCCATCGCCATGGAAACAGCCACAGACGTGCCAAAGAGATGAAAACAGCCGGAGTACCCCCCTCCGCCTTCTCCACCCACCCTCCACCTCGCTGTCCGGGGAGGGGGCAGGGGATATGGTGCCAGCTGCTGAAATCCAAAATACCAAATTCGTGACATGAATATTACATTGGAGGCTGGTTTAAACTTTTTGGTTCTCACTTGGTGAAACATCAGGTAAGACACAGTTCTCCTCACTGAACTAACAGCTGTGTGGATGTAAATATAGATTCAGGAGATTAGAGAAAAGAATCAAATAAAATGGACTAGATTAGATTAAATCCTATGAGCATGGTTACCCTCACCTGTTTCTCAACCAAGGAACAGCCAGGAGTAACTGATCAGAGTCTATGGTGCAGAACTCTTTGTGTTCACTCTACCTGGTTTAGCTGCAGTGAAGATTCTATATTCAGTGTTTCTTAATGAAATTGAATTGTATTTATTATCGTTCACCTTATTGTTCGCATGTGTCTGTTATATTAAGTTTGAATGATCTTCATAACTGCTGTTATTTTTTCATATAATACAACATTTCAAAATAAAAGCTCGGTATCTCAGCTTAACATAATTTATTACAGCAAAAACAGATGTTTGTGGAATTAGTGGCCAGATAGGTAGATGTTTTCAAAACAGCTTTCACAACTTTTTGTAACCTGAACTGAACCTATATAAAACTCCTCAAACCCAAGAAGTAACAAACAAATAATTCCAAGAAAGAATTCAAGTTAATAAACTGTCATGAATCAGTGAGTAGACACGTTGATGCTCCGTCAAGATGGTTTATTAAAATCACACCTGACGTGACACTGGTGAGTCTACATGGCGTAGAAATGAGAACTAGCTGCTGGGCCCTGAAGCTGTCGCTGCGCTGTGGCAGTTCAATCCTGATAAGTGCCACGTAATGAGACTGGCGTCGTTGACGAGGGCACAGTGAGTCAGGCGTTTAGAGTGGGGGCTCCGTTTACAGGCTTTGTTCCAGGTGCGTACTCAAAAAGCCACGGGGACGCTCCAAATTACTCACACGCTGACATGGAGCCCCTTATTGACGACCCGAGGGCAGGGTGTAGTGGCGTGTGCTGAGTGGCGGGAACACACGAGAGCTCTGGATGCCAGCACAGATAATATCAATAATAACAATCAAACAACAAACAAACAATAATAAAGAAGGGATGAGGCGAGGATCGTACGGGAACGACACTCCGACTGCAGCAGGAAGTGAGTCCACACAGGAGGCCGGCCCTTCAGCCATCATGTCCACCACTTCACTGCTGTAAGTATGTGGGATACTGATGTGTCCTCCTCCATACTTCTGACTTGTCAGCCTTTATTTAGCTGCGGATGGAGGGAGGCACTGCGATGGAAATGTTCTCTTCAGATACATTAAAGATGTTTCATAATATCTACACATATTGTTTTCTGAAGCTTTGTTCGGAGTTGTGTGATTCCTGAAGACAAAAATATCAGAACAGGATTTTGGGCATCAGTGTTTTTCCCAGTGTCATGCGTACTGACATGGGAATCACTCCCTAATCATTCCAACATACTATCAGTGTCATTTTCAGAATAAATATTTCATTATTTCAAACATTTCATATAACCAACACATTTCTCTTCCAGGTCTTTCCTCACATTAATGAAACAGTGCCCCCTCTGGCTTCTGCTTTAGGTGAGACTCTGTTATGCAGCTTTGCAAAAAAGGAAATAGGGGGTAAACTCGTAATCTGCTCTTAATAGAACAAACTCATCTCAACAGATAAATATTAATGCATCAAAATCCAAACATTATCTGCTGAGAAACTGAGGATCTGTCCTCTGACTGAGTTTGGTGAAGGGATGAAACTGTGAACATGAAAACAGTACGCTTTTTAATAAAGAATAATTAAAAAATAACAATTCCCCTTGCCAGCAAATGCAAAAAATGACCCTACACCAGCCTTACATGACTTATTGACCCAGTCATCGATGAATCTGAAGGTCTGTGGTTCAATCCTTGGCTCCCTCAGTCTCTACATCAAAGTGTCCTTGGGCAAGGCAAGTAAATTACCCAGAATGTTGTGTGATTAGTGTGTGAAATGGATGTGACTATATATAGAAGCACTGTATGAATGTGTGTGTGTCTACTGACCATTCTGTGTTCCACTGTGTATTAACTGTTTTCTTGTGCCTGTTGCTAAGATGAGAGATTAGCCCCCCCCCCTCCTAAAAGAACAGCCAGCCCCTGTTTGGACCCTGAGTTTCAAATGGACAGCTGATCATGTAAGTGTTCGAGATTAGGCACTGGCTATGAACTGGCCCTTGAACGGCCTTGGTGGGAAAGTGCTGATGGTGGCCCAGTCTACGTCCTGAGTCACAGCCGCCTGTGTGGATTAAAAAATGATGGACACTGTATTTGTGTTTGTAGAAAACTTGTGTGTGTGTGTGTGTGTGTGCACGCAGAAGCTACATTATATTTGACATGCTGTCTTTTTTGCCAGGGAGTGTGGATAAAACTCTACAAACAATAATTAGTTTGGTTGAAGTGTGTTTGCAGAGGTTTACTTTAGTTGTGGCGGTGCAGCCTGCCAGACTCCGACCAACGTGTCCCTGTGACTCTAAACACACATGAGAAGTAAACAGACGCAGACAGAATGAGAACATTATGATCAGTAAAACGTCTGTTTAATGAAGATGGCTGTGTCGGCCGACGGTAGATTACTTCATTCAAAGCTCCTCTCACTTTCAATTTACTTTGAAGCAAACTGTGCGGCTGCCAGAATCCCTGCTAAATGCTTCTTCCTAACATCAGGTGAGATCATGGGCTGACCAAAGGGGAAGGATTTGCAGCATATTGAGTAAAGCGACTGGACGGTTTCCAATATCTTCAGGCGCCCAAAGCTTTACCGTGCACTACCCCTCTGCATGCTGAGCCATAAAGTCCTGATGATAAGCAGACAGAGAGGGGAGCATTAAATATTTTACGTCAGACATTTCCATTGATCAACTGGAGCCTCTTATCCAGCTCAGCTGCCTCCGTGTCATTACACAGAGGCAGATCACACGCCGCGTGCACCCAGCGGCGTGCTAATGAGCCAGCCGAGCCAAGGTAAGCCTGTGCACACCGTTGCATCAGGCCTCGCGAGCGGCACTCGTGTAAGCAAACTAAATTTAGCGCCGTGGATTTCTGATCTTGCACGAGGTTGATGAGCATTTCCCCCGATGTCACAATTAGGCCCCTGCAAACCTCTGAGCTCTCTGGAGCTGTACACTGTCTGATATTTGAATCACAGAGGCTGTAGAGTCTCAGGTTTGAATATGGAAATTCTTTTGAGCACCTTTTTTATTTTGACAGGGAAGTCTGAGCATGTGCAGAGGCGGATCTAGGATTAGGGGATAAAGGGGCCACAATTTACACAGAGGGGCCGATCATTTGTCCAAAATCCATTTACAATTCCTGATTCATTAAGCTGCATGTTTATTTCATTCCTTGTTTCCTGTAAGCTTTGAACAAGGCCACACATCAATTCATATATTTGTTCCTTGTCAAAAACATTGTGTACTTCAATACTCACAAGTCACAGTTTGTCTCACAGGGCTTAACAAGACATCCCCTGCCCTTAACTCTCATCAAGAGTAAGACGTAGAGCCACATGTGAGGGATCCCACTGTCAGGATGGACAGAAGTGCAACAGATGCTGTGAGTTAACAGACCATATAATAACAGTATTTACAAATACTGATGATGTCTAACAAGTATTTGTACATAAGAAAATGTCCGACAGAGTTACAGGGAGCAATCCAGTTGTTTTCATAAACCACGATCGCGATGCACCATCATAATCTACCATCCACTAATATCACGATTTCATGATCCTCCATCTCGATACTGTCCCGATCATGATCCACAGTCCACCATCACGTACCATGATCCACAATGTCGACAGGACAGAACAATTAGACATACAGAACTGCGTACATCCAACATACTACTACTTAGATCACGTACAGACAGTGTACTGCTGGGTAAAGCACTTGAGCACATGAATCAAGTTTTCCATCAATTTAATAAACACATTTGTTTCCTTGAATATAAAATCTGCACATTTAAGACGAAACTGCAAAGATATGTTTCTATTGTGAGCATCAA